GCGCAACAAGCGCTCGCTGCTCAAGTCGCGTCGCGTGACATCAACGCGTCCGCGTTCATCACAACATCCCGCGCCTCGTTTCTCGGACTCTACATTGGGTACAATGTCATGTGGATGGACGACAGCAATTCCAACGAAAACGTCATGTACACGGGCTACATGCGCGCACCGTCGTCGGCGTGGTGGCTGCTTTGCAAGCTCCTCTTGCGCTTGAGCCTCGCGGGTTGCGTCGGCGTCTGGATGTGGCATGCGTACTTTCGGCACTTGCCGCGCCTCGTGGCCAGCTTGGAAGCGTACGGCCTTTGCGACGCACCAATCAGCGCGACGCTCGAGGTGGTCGTTGGCGACCCCACGGCGTATGTCCTCTTGCACCCGATGGTTTCGATCGCGTTTGTATTGGACTTTTGGCTCTCGGTCGACTTTGTCGCGCGCGCCATGAACCGCATGGTCCAAGCCACCGATGCGTCATCGTTCGTCGTCGCCTGCGTGTACCTCTCGCGCACCGTCTGGTTTGGCTATGGCACACTTCTTGCGATGAGCACTGTGCTGCGGTACTGCAGAATCTACCGACCTCGCTTTGTCGCCGTCGACCCCACGACGATTGCGATCCTATTGACGCTGGCCGCGGGGCCGATCACGCGGCTTCAGAGCCAGACGCCAGCGCTGGCTCGAGTTTGCAATAACCTCTTTACCTGCCTTGCGCCGTCGCCCGATGAAATCGACGTGGGCGTCGCCGCGCTCGTGTATACGCTCATCATTGGCGTCCTTCCGTTGCTCCTTGGGTTTGTGTTGTCCGCGTGTGCGCGGGCCCGGGCCGTCGCACGCCAGTCGCTGCGTCGTCGCAGTCTCTCGTCGCTCAAAGAGGGTCCCCATGTTGCTATGATCCACGCATCGTTTGCCAACAACGACTGGAAGAATCACATCATGACGACCTTAAGCATTCACCCGTGGACGGCGACGTTCACGTGCGTTGGCGGCAGTGTCTACGATCTCTTTGATAAACAGCCAAAGTATTCGCGCAACATGGCGCTGAGTCTCCGCGGAGCCGACTGCTTTGTGCTCTACTCAACGTCGAACACAACACGCACCACTGTACGTCTGAGCCTTCTCTCGGCCATGGAAGCGCAAGACCCTCTGCGAGTCTTGCCTGGACCACGACGCTCGGCCGTCGGCAAGGTCAATCCTACCACCGAAGTGGTCCGACAAGGCAGTGACCACAGTCCTTGGATCATGTAAAACGGCTATCGATAAGAAGTTATGATAGTCAGCATGGCAGTATCTTCTTGTCAGGCGGTGTATTACCGGGGTTACCACTATGGGTTTATTTTTCTACGTGGTCTATCGTCAAGCTACTTGATCGACCAGCAGCGTTCGCGGTCATGAGCCAGCGTCAGCATGGCAGTATCGACGGATGTAGAATGATGTTATCGGCCTTATTGAAATCAGAAAAGTCGATGATGGCGAAAGCGCCGAAAAATGACGTGGCGCGCTCTGAAGCATTCTTTCTAATAAGAAACTGGTTGTGTTCTAAAAATAGATGCGCTGGCTGGCCCCGAGGCGGCACTGGGTAGCGCAAACGGCGGTCGTGCCGTGGGATGGACCGTCGTCTCCGTATACAGTCCGATGGAACAAGGGCTCTGTCGTCTTGGCCTTGCTCATGGTTCTCAATGTTGCCATCATGTAAGCCTGGCGCGAGCGACTTGTGTGTTCACCACGTTCGTGTAGGCCTCTCAAAGCGTACATTTCCGAGCCCTTTCCATGGCACCACGTGCCCATGCAAGGAATACCGGATCAATGCGACCGCAACTTTACAGCCTGCGCGCCGACGTTGCTTTTGGCGCTGCAAAACCAAAGCCAGCAACTCGGTCCTGGCCAAGTGTACCTCGCCACAGACCGGTTCGACCTCGTGCGCGTGAGCTTCGCAGCGTTGCCCGATCCAAGCGACGCCGACACATTCTATCTCACGTTACCCTACGCGTCGTTCTACTCGATCCAGCAGCGGAAGCTTTTCAGCGCCATCGCTCGGCGCGAAATGAACGCATCGGCGTTTGCCACCACCGAGCTCTCGCTCTTTCTGGGCATTGCGATCTCGTACAATGCCATTTGGATTGCGCCGAATACCCAAAATGCGTCCAGCGATCTATTTATTTGTGCTGCACGCGTGGCTTTTCCCACGTGGTGGCTCTGGCTCAAATTCGCGTATCGGCTCGTTTTTGGCGTCTATCTGCTCATGTGCATGTGGCGGCTCTACTTTGCGCAGTACGCCACGCTGGTCGCAAATTTAGAGCGCTACGGTATCGAAGCGGCAGCTGTTGGGTCGACGCTCACGCTGGTCGTGGGCGACCCCACGAGCCTCATTTTGGTGCACCCACGAGTCATCCTCGGCTTTGTTCTGGACTTTTGGATGAGCGCCGATTTTGACGGACGCGCCTATCTTCGCGTCGGCCAAGTCGTCGACCCGCTCCAGTTCTTCGTGGCGTGCTTGTACCTCTCGCGCACGCTCTGGTTCGCGTACGGCGCGGTGGTCGCCACTTCGAACCTCATGAAGCGCTGTGGTTTGGCCAAATATTTCCACGGCGTCGACCCGACGTACACGGCGATTGGCGTCGCGGTCGTTGCCGGACCGTTTACGTTTGTGCAAATGCAAATTCCAGCCCTCTGCAAGCTCTACAACACGCTCTTTGTTGCTCTCGCGCGCCGCGACGACACGATCGACATTAGCCTCGCGGCGCTTGTCTACACTACGCTGATTGGAGGCCTCCCCCTTGTGTTTGGGCTTTGGCCGCGGTAATACAAACCGCCAAACAACGTGGCGGCAGTCAGTCACAACGACTTCAAATCCCGCTGGGCGCTCTACTTTAGTCTCATGTTTTGGCGCACGCGACGACCGATCCAGTTTGCGGGCGGCAGTATCTATACCCTGTTCGCCAAAGACGAGACGTGGAAGGCAATTCTTGGCGTGAGCCAGCGCAGCACCGACTGCTACGTGCTCTACGATGTGCCTGGGAACAGCTCACACCAACAAGGCGTTCGACTCAGCCTCACGGCCCGCGTCGAGAAGCGACGACAGCTTGTGCTGCGCGACGCGAGCACCGGTACTTCGGTGGGACACATCGCATTTGAAAAAGACGACTCAATTTCGCTGGTGCAAGGCTCGCATGGTGTCGCCTGGATCATGTAATACATCAAGTTGCGTCAAAAGTAGAATGGCCAGTCGCATTCCGGACCTTGGGTCTTTCACTATCGTAAGGTTGGTCAGGAAGCTAAGGTACTGGTATCGGTGGGGGGAGGCAAGGGTCAATAAACCCCTGGGTGAGGCGAGCTGCATGGTAGAGTTGAGTTCAAGAATACGAGCTCTTCCACGATCCACCTATTTGTAAAAGACCACTAGGCAGCTGAAGTGCCTCGAACCCACTGTTCTTGCGGTTCTGCTCACATCGTTATCGACGGTCCGATGGTCGTTTTTGCTTTTCGTACAAAGTGTATTTTTGGAGTGCAATAATGGCGCCAACGTGGCTCGGCTCGGCGGCTGTTGTGCCATGGGAGGCGCCGCCAGCGTACGTCATTCGCTTCAACAAGCGGTCCGTGCTCGTGAGTCTTCTCATGGTGCTCAACGTCGCCATCATGTACTCCTGTCGTCTGTCAGCGTCAGAGGTTCACCTTGATGTAGGCCACTGAAAGCCTACATTTCCGAGCCGCTGCCGTGGACGCATGTGCCCATGCAAGGCATCCCCGACACTTGCTACGTCAACTTCACCGCGTGCTCGCCCATTTTGCTCGGGGTGCTGCGCAATCGCAGCGCGCACCTGCCGCATGGCCCCGCGTACATCTCGAACGATCGGTTCGACCTCGTGCGCGTCGCCCTTCCGCCGATGCCGCCACCAACCGAGGCCAACTCGACGTTTTACCTCGACTTTCCCTACGCAATTTTCTACTCGGTCGAACAACGCACGCTGCTGCAGGCAGTGGCTCGACGCGACATCAACATCTCGGAGTACGCGACAACCGAGCTCGCTCTTTTCTTGGGCGTTGCGATCGCATACAATGCGATTTGGCTGACGTCGACGGACAATGGCACTCACTACATGACGGTGTGTGCGACGCGCGCGTCGCTTGCGTCCTGGTGGCAGTGGTTCAAGTTGCTGTATCGCCTGGCCTTTGTTGTTTACTTGCTGACGTGCATGTGGCGGCTCTACTTTAAGCACTACCTCACGCTCGTCGCGAATTTACGGCGCTACGGACTGTCCCTGGCGCCTACTGGGAGCACGTTGATTATCGTGCTCGGGGATCCGACCAGTCTTATCCTCGTGCACCCGCTTGTGATTGCTGGCTTTATCGTTGATTTTTGGATGAGCGCCGACTTTGTGGCCAGAGCATACCTCCGCGTCGGGCAACTCGTGGCTCTCTTTCCGTTCTTTACTGCGTGTTTGTATCTCTCACGGACACTTTGGTTTGCATATGGGTCCCTCACGCTAACGTCGTCGCTTCTCAAGCGCTGTCGATTGGCCAAGTACTTTTATGGCGTCGATCCCACGTATACGGCGATCGGTGTGATGCTCGCGGCCGGCCCGCTCACCAATTTTCAAACGCGGCTGCCAGCACTGTGCGCTTTGTACAATATTCTGTTTGTTGCTCTTGTCCACCAAGAGGATGCGATCGACACGGGCCTCGCAGCGCTGCTGTACACGTCGCTCATTGGCGTCTTGCCGCTGGGCTTTGGCTTCTGGCCGCGCAAGCGCCGCATGCCTCTAAATGCGGCGGGCGTCGGCCACAACGACGCCAAGTCGCGCTGGGCACTCTACTTTAGTCTCTGCTCACTGCGTACGTCGTCGATGCAGCTCGAGGGCGGCAGCCTTTACACGCTCTTTGCGACCAACCCGGAGGCGAAAGCAACGCTGGGCGTTAGTCAGCGCGGCTCGGACTGCTACGTTCTCTTTGGTACTACGTCGGATCAAGGCGCCAAACACGGCGTGCGCTTGAGCTTGCTCTCGCGCATCGACGCTCGGCACGCAGCTCAGCTTTCGTCTCGCAAGGCGCTCGGCACGGCCGTCGGGCACTTGGAGATCGAGTCCGACGTCACGGTGCTGACCCTTGGTGCGAACGGTTGTCAATGGATCCGTTGAGGGCGGCGATGGATCCGTTAATCAGCGTCAAATTGGCGAGATGGCAATAAAACTGGGATTCCAAAAGCGTCGCCGTCAAGTCAAATTTGTTGCGCAAAAATAATGTTTTTCGTGTTTACCCTTTTGGAGTGGTCAGAATGACCACTCACGGGCGGCAAGGTGGCATGCGTCCTACGAGCCGTCTTTGCATAACTCTAAAGAAAAGTACATTCAAGGCTCGGTCGCTTTACAGATTGGCGTAGACGCAAGCATCGTGTGTATGCGCAGAGTCCAAATAAAATATCATGCATATACTGTATATACCCTACCCCTATTTCCGGCTAAAATTACGCGGCCTCCATACTTTTCGCATCAAGTAGACATGCGTGCGTGGGGGAGCTCTGTCGTGCCATGGATGGCCCCGCTGCGCAACGTGGTCACGCTCAACAAACGGTCGATCGCGTGGAGCCTCGTCATGCTCTGCAACATCTTTCTCATGTACTAGCGACTCGCCATATCGGCTCATTTTGTGCATTCTAGGCCGCTCAAGGCGTACATCTCCGAGCCTTTCCCATGGACCTCGGTGCATGTCGATGCGATCCCAAGCGACTGCGCGCACAACTTTACCAACTGCGGGCCACAGCTCCTCGAATTCTTTCGGAACCAAAGCCAGTTCCTCTCCGAGGACGCGCCGCACATTGCGACCAAAGTATACGACCTCGTTCGGGTCTCGTTTCCGCTGCCGACGAACGCGTCCTCGCCCGACGCGTACGTGACATCCATGCCATACGCTCTCTTCTACTGCGCGTCCCAACGCGACCTCGCGCACCGCTTTGCGACTAATCAAATCCACGCGACGGACTTTGCGAGCGCCCAAATCGCCGCATTTCTCACGAGTCCGATCGCGTTTTCTGTCATTTGGGCCTCAAACGACACGACGACACCGGGTGGCGGCATCATGCACATGGGGTACGTCCGCGCCGCGACGTCGACGTGGTGGACTTCGATCAAATTTGTGTTTCGACTGCTCCTGTCGATGTACCTTGTGTGGTGTACGTGGGCCCAGTATTTTGTGCACGTAAAGACTCTCTATTCTCAGCTGACGACGATCGGTCTCGCGACCGCGCCCGGACGCTCCTTGGAGCTCATTGTCGGCGACCCCACGAGCGTCGTGCTGTTAAACCCGGTCGTGGCACTCTTCTTCATTGTCGATTTTTGGATCAGCGCCGATTTTGTCTCGTTAGCGTTTACGCGCGTGGCGGTCGTGACGTCGCCGACGACGTACTTTATCGCGTCTCTGTACCTCTCGCGGACCCTCTGGTTTGCCTACGGGTCGCTCAGTGTCATGTCCGGTTGCCTCAAGCGACTCGGGAAGGCCCACCTCTTTCACGCTGTAGATCCAAGCTGGACCGCCGTCGCGGTCATGTGCGTTGCGGGCCCGTTCACGACGCTCCAGACGCGGCTTCCGTTTCTGATCGATCTCTACAACTGGATATTTTACGTCCTAGCTTCGTCGTCGACCTCCATCGAGACGAGCGCCGCTGCGATCGTCTACACGGCGCTCGTTGGCGGCTTGCCAATTCTCTTTGGGCTCTTTCCGCGACATAAACCGCGCCTCCTCGTGGGTCCCCGCGTCAGCGCCACGTCGCCAGCGTCGTACCTCGAGAACGACGTCAAGGCGCGCTGGGCGCTCAGTTTTACGTTCATGTCGAGGGCAAAAAAAGCGAATGGCGTCAACATGCTAGGTGGCAGCGTCTACCAACTCTTCCAAGCGCACCCGGCGCTGCGACGGGAGCTGTGCATGAGCCAGCGCGGTGGCGACTGCTACATAGTGTACGATGATATAGCGTCGACGGTCAGTGTTCGCGTCTCGCCACTCGAGTGTTTGGACCATCACCGGCCGCCGCTCACGGTGGCTGCTGCGGTGCCCGGGCACATCTTGGGCCGCGTCGACATGCGCAAAGACGCACCAATGCTCATCCTCGGCGACAATAATTCCAAGTGGATCATGTAATAATGGTCGAACTCGACTCGAATATTGGGCTTGCTATCATGCTTCGCTTAGCAGCGTCACATTGGGTTCACAGGAGGCAGTCGTCTGGTGCCGAAAAGCCCAACCCGAACCCCATCAAGTTAGCACCCAAATGCTTTGCACAAAGTCCTCGTCTCAAGTTGGCCAGACTCTTTTCGATATCGGTATCGGTGAGCTTTGAAAGCGTGGCATTGCATCGCAGCATTCTGCGGCGTGGGCAAACAGGGCTTTTGCGCCGTCGCGTCCAAGCAGATGCAAGCAACATCGAACTACGTGATTTCAATCGGAGACGATCGAGACAGCGTTCGCATGCTCGGTCGTGTTCACTGCCGAGGTATACCTAAGGCTGAAATGCATTCGATGGCGCGTCTAGTCGGACGCTTGGCGCTCGTAGATGAGCAAGTACGACTCGGAGATGCCAATGAGCTGCGGCATGGTCTCTTGCACGTGGAGGTCCTGGAGCTCGTACCACTGGTCCGTCGCGCGGTTCTGCACATGCACGCGGTACGAGCCGTCGGCGAGCGGATCCATGTTGACGGCGGTCGTCGCTTGACCAATCGTGGGCGGGCTGTCGTGGCACACGTTCGCAACCAGGTTGTACTTGGTCGACGGCAGCTTGGAGAGGACGCTCGTGACCAAGTGCTGGCGCTCGAGGATGCCGGCGCTCGAGCCGCCGAGCGACGTAAGGAGCGCTTTGAGCTCGCCAATGGACATGGCCGCGATCGCGTCGCTGGACATGCCGAGCTCGACGTGGTCGCTCATCTCAAGGTTCTTGACGGGGAAATTCACGATCGTCGGGTTTTTCTCCGTGAAAAAGTTGTTTTTTGTAAACCGGTGGATGTGGAAGATGAGGTACTTGGGCAGCGTCTCGAGCGTATACTGCTTTTGCTGCCGGACCGCGCCTTGAAACACGTGCTAACGCCATACTCAAGAGTCCGAGAGCGTCGGCAGATCGCGTACCGTGATCTTTTCGCCGTTGAATTTTTCGAGCACCGTAAAGAGCGGAACCTGCGGAATGACATTGCCGCCCTGCGAGTCCTTGAAGAGCGGCGTCGGCGGCAAATCCAGCGAGAGAAACCTACAAATCCCATTCGAGTCCAGCGCCAATTTGCGGGAAAATCTGTACAGGAACGGCGTCGTGGCGTTGGTGACGCCGGCCGCTGCGCCGTCCGAGAGCGTCTTGACTTGCACCGTGCCCTGAAAGACGTCGTGGATGATGCTACTGCCTTGCTTTTTCGTGCCGCCGACGCCCTACACCGGATATTTACGCTAAATTGGGTTTTGTCATTTGAGAAATACGCGATGGAGCTCGTTGAGGAACCACGAGAGGAACTCGAGTGCGTCCTTTTGCTCGCCAATGTGGAAGCGCTTCTTGCTCGCGACCGAGATTTCTTGGACAATCTCATGCGGACTGATCTGGCCGACAGCATGAATACCGTCGATTTCCAGGACAAGAGGCGAATTTACCGTATTTTTGATGTTGTGGGGGCTCCACATCTTGCGCATCATCTCGCCAAAGCGCAGAGCGAGGGTCGACTTGGTCTTGGCGACGGCCGCCATGTAGTTGGCTGGCTCGAGAAAGTAGTCGCGGAGCGGCGGGACGTGCGCGAGCGCATGCAGCACGACCGAGACGTAGTCGGTCTTCTTGAGGTTGTTGAGGCCGACAAAGCCCGGGAGGTACGAGACGCCAAAGCTGTCTTGGGCGAGCTTCCGGTTCCCGTCCATCTGCGCAATCTGCTCCTTCGTGAACGTCGGGCGCAGCGCGTGCTGTATGGGCAGGAGCGAGAGGTCGTTGACTTCGTAGTTGTCGGGCAGGCAGTAGATCTTGTCGGTTGACAAGTTGATGAAGACGTGGTGGAAGCTCTGGAGCGCGTGCATGTACGCGTGTGTCTTGGGGCCGCGGCCCTGGAAGTACTTGCCGCAGACCAAGCACGCGTACGCGTTCTGCGCCGAGAGCGAGACCGAGCAAACCTTCTCAAAGTCAAAGTCCAGCAGCTGCGGCTTGACCGTGTCCAGGTACGGGCAGCGCTTCCGCTTGTTCATGCTCGTCGCCGGCGTCTCGTCGTCGGGCTCGGGCTCCTTGCGCTTGCTCATGCTGCAGCTGTGGTCGCGGCAAATTATGGTCGCCCGAATCGGTCTTTTAGGTCAAATGCGTTTTAATGGAAAAACGCAGCGCACAGGCGACGGATTCGAAAAGGCACGCGCGACGCATCGCCTCGGGCCGCGCATACCGGTGCTACCGTCGACCAAGGATACATGAAGTGTTGCGCTTGCATGCGTAGCGACGACCCTTCTGCGCTTTCGTTGGATGCATCACTGTTTAACGTGTTTAACGTGTTTAAACGCGCCCATGCAAGGTAGGTCCAAGCGGGGCCTCTATAACTTCATGCGATAGAAAGTGCTTTTTAACACTTCCTCGGAGTGCGTTTGGCTTTGGGTCATTCAGCCGTGTACGAAAGCATAGGTTCTAGTAGAGCCAACCCACCAAGCGCTAGAAGTACGGCACAGCACCGAGAGCGCTGCTATGCTCTGTATCGGTGCCATCAGCTCGACGCGCAAAAGCTTAAAAAGCCATTTCAAGCGCTTAATACCTCTCATATTCAATTATATGACTAGCAAAAACACAAGATCTCCTTACAAACACCAAGGTAATTGTATTCCAACTGTCGAAAACGACAGGAAGGCAGGACGTTTCTAAAGTGAGGGGGAATTCGTCATTTACTTGGTCGAAAACGAACGTTGAAGCCATGGAGATGGTCGTCGACGACTCGCTGCTGCTGCTGCCAAGCACGGAGGAGCCGCCGCATGAGGACCTCCTGCACACCCAAGCCCACGACGCGTACGACGTCGAGCCGGAGGAAGCGAGCACGGCGACCAAGACGCGCAAGCGCGAGCGCTTGACGCTCGGGCAGAAGCGCCAGGTCGTGGACCTCGCGTCGAGCCACCAGTTCACGCACCGCGTACGTCGCCTTCGCCCATCTCTAGCACGCTGTACATGGGACGTAGGAGCTTGCCGAGAAGTTCCAGGTCGGGCGCACGACGATCACCAACATTTGCAAGAACACGGAGCTCATTCGCAACGAGACCGACTCAGCCGACCTCCTCAAGAAGCGGCGCAAGACGACCAAGTGCACGTACGACCTCAAGATCCTCGACGAAGCTCTGCACAAGTGGCGCATGGAAATCCGCGTGAGCAACCCGGAAATGAAGCTCACGGGCGCGGCGCTGCAGCAAAAGGCCATCGAGTTTGCCCAAGCTATCTTACATGACGAGTACGCGCGCCTGCCCGAGAAGATCCAACTCGCCCTCAGCAAGTTTGGCGCTTCGAACGGCTGGCTCGACGGGTACCGCACGCGCTTTGGCAACTTTAGCTCACGCTCAACGCACGAGCAGGCAGCGATCAAGCAGGTCGACTACCAAACGCGGCTGCGGGAGCTGCACCGTAGCTTTGACGGCGTCGAGCCATGTGACATTTGGACCGGCGGTGAGTTTGCCCTTGTCTTCAAGCCCAGCCACGTCATGGACAAGGGCCGATGCACGGTCTCGCTCTTTGCGAACGCGGCCGGGGACCTCTTTGACATGCAAGTGATTGGCATCGAGAAAGGGGGGACCCCCGTCGAGATGGACGGCCTCGACCTGCGGGCGCGGTACCGCATTTTGTACGGGTACTCGAAAACCGGTCTCCAGGTCGCGACGACGTCAATGGCGATGCTCAAAGCGCTCAACCAGCACGCCAAGGCCCTCAAGCGCACGTTCCATGTGGTCCTTGACAGCGCTGTGCCACACGTCAAAGCCGCCATGATGCTCGATGCGCTCGGCGACCAGCGCACGTTCTTCCTCTACGACCAGCTGCGGATTTACTTTTTGCCGCCGCATCTGAGTTTGCCCAAGTGCCACCCGCTGCACATGGGCATCATTGCATGCTTCAAGGCCAAATTTCGCTACGAGATGCTCGACACGCTCTACACCAACTACCGGCACGCGACCGCGCTCGATGACGCGACCCGCGTCATCCAGTTCAAGCTCAAGACCGTCTTCCATTGGCTAGCTGTCGCCTTGCACAGTGTGCCGTCGAGTCTTGTTTTGCAGGCGTGGGTGGCCTCGGGGCTCCTGCCGGCAACGACGGTCGCCAAGTTGCCGAAACAACCGCCGCCATCGAGTGACGAGCCGTACGTAACCCAGCTCGACGCGCTCTTGCGCGAGATCTCGCTCACGATGCCGGCGTTTCTGCAGTGGGTCCTTGGCACGGCCACCATGTCGGGCGCCGACCTCCTCAAGCTCGAGGCCAAGGAGAGCGTCAACGACCCGGGCGTTGACGAGACGCAGATCATCCGCAGCGTTCTCCTCAAACACGACTTTTTGACCGTGCGCCGGGGGACATTGGACGATGCGCTCGATGTGCTCGACGACGAAGACCCGGCCTTTGAGATGGCGTGCCCCGACCGCGCCGCGGTCCTTGAGAGCCTCAACTTGCTCAAACGCTATTTGCGGCTCGCGCCCCAGGACGTGCCGACGCGCATGCCGGCGATTGCGATGCTCAACGACCTCAAGGCGCACCTCGGCGGCGACGAGATGACCGTGTAGCTGTGCATGTCGACATAAGAGTTCCAACTTGTGCGAAAATTCGAGTCTCAATGCTGGTGGGTGGGCGACCGCATCACTCGCACGCGGGTGGCGGACACTTCTGGCGGGGGCGCTGCTGCTGGCGCTGAGAGCTGGCGCTGAGCTGGTGGTGGCGACTTGCCACTGAATTCCATCTTGGCACTGGGCGGAGATCACTGGACGGATCGCGCGTGCCAGGTGGTGACAATCTCACTTTCGGACAACAGTACTCGATGAGCCAGAGTCTGTTTCCTATATGGTTGACCAGAGGCGTGATGGTTGACACTGCGAGCGAGTTGGCGCCACGATCCGCCTCACCACCTGACGTGCGAGGTCTCAGGGTTCGCCCTTGAGGCTGGCACGGCGGTACGAACAGTGTAGCTGGTGGTGGGCTCAGTACCTTGGCGTTCGGTGCACTGGCGACTAGCTCAGTTCATAGAGACGGGGCGCTTCCGATGTTGTTGACAGGCGAGGTACATGTCCAAATTTCAGGTCCGAATTGAACCATTTGAAATTCGGATCGGTTCAGCGATTCCAGGACCTTTTAATGTTTTCAACATATTGCATACAAATATCAAAGTTAGATAAAATTTGGAATTGTAGTACGCTGCCAGCGTTTCGGCCTGAAACGGATGCAGTTGCGAATTGGCATGCGGCCGCGCGATGAGAGCATGCTCGGGAAGCTCCTGGGGCACATGACGCGCAACGAGGACGACGACGACGATGACGTCGCGCTGCTTGAAGACGCGCAGGCTGTGGCGGCCGTCCGCCCGTCGACGCCCCGCCTGCCGTACCTCGCCTGGGACGGCGACGCGGTGCGCCCGAGCATGGCCCGTCCAGCGGCCGCGCCAAGCATGAGCCCGCGGCCGCAGCGCGAGACGATCCTCGTAACCGAATTTGCCTTTCTCCACGCGTCCTTTGCACCACCCTTCCCGCTCGACCCGACGGCGCCTGAGCCCGCTCCGTCCACCTGCAGCTCCAGCGAGGCCTCGTCCTTACCGCGCACCTTGTCGTTTGGCGGCCAAAAGCTTCGTCGCAGCGTGCGCCAACTCGTGCACGAGATCCAGACCGACGCGATCGGGACCCGACCAAGCCCTGCTTCCGACGACGACGAGGAGGAAAAGACGAGCGAGCGGGAGCTGCACATCACATCCAGCGTCCGCAATCTCGTCCTCAACCTGCGCCGCGACTGCGAGCGGCACTCGCTGCAGCCTACGACTGTCGACAGCAGCGTCCTTGCTCGGCACGTCAGCCGCCGGCGCGGCTACTCGAGCCCCATGGAGTATCATCGGGGCCGGTCCACGACCGTCACGTCCTTGGCGTCGCAATCGGCCCCGCACAAGGTCGATTTTCTGCCGCGTTTGATGTCCAACGTCACGACGTCGCTGCGTCGACTGAGTCTCATGCGCGCCACGGCGCGGGCGCCGCTGGTCGAAGCCGACGCGATCGACGGTGCGCGCTGGAAGATCGTCGAGCTCGCCTTTCGCTTTGGCGGCCCCCATCGGTATTACCTCGTGCAGGCCGTCAACATGTTTTACCCGCTGCAAAAGTTTGGCCGGCGCGGGTACCCGCACCCAACGCGACTGCTCTGCCACCAATATGGCACGCTGCAGTGGGAGCACAAGCGGGGCGGGTACTCGGCGCCAGTGGACCTTGCACTCGTCGAGCTCCTCGTCGACGGCCGGGCGACTGCCGTGTTCCAAAAGCAAAAGCGCGTCTCAAAACGCAACGAAGCGTGCTCGCTGAGCATCGTCTTTAGCGACCGGACGCTGGATCTTGAGACGAGCAGCGAAGACCACCGCGACTGGCTCAGCAGCGCCCTCCGCACGCTCGTGAATTACGCCAAGAAGCAGCGCCGCGCCGAACACATTGTCGTCATGGAGGAAGACACCAAGCACCGCGCGCCCGTGATGGCATAAGATCGGACCCCAGACATTATTGTACAATAGAGTGGATAGGAAAAAAGAGAGTTGTTGGTCCTCTGGACACCAGTAACATGAGAGCAAAAGAGGTGGCGTATGAACGCTCACCGAGCCACGCTTCCTTTAGACATCGAGTAGTACGGTGTGACAATGTTGGTTTATCGCATTCGAAAGTCGATTCATCGGCGAAAGCTGGGTATCTGCTCTACATGATCCAAGGTGATGGTTCCGCATCAGGCTCTGCTGCCCGACGCAAAAAGGAGTCGGGAAGGTCGCCACCGACCCGATCCCGCCGGTGTTGGCGCGTTGCAGCTGCGCAAGGAAGCGCGTGTCGAGGCTCGAGAGCAAGCTGAGACGCACCTCTATCACTCGACCAGGCGCTTCTTCGTACAGCACGTAGCAGTCTTCGCCCCGGAGGCTCATGCCGAGGTGTTTTCGGCAGCATTGATGCCGGGCAAAGAGCTCGTAGACGCTGCCGCCGACCGGTTGAAGCACTGCGCCGGTTGGCAGGCCCTGATAGACAAAGTGCATCGAGAGGCGTTGCTTGAGGTCCCAACCCTCTCGAAGCGCCGTCCGCCGCGTCCGTTTGGACGGTGCTGGGGCGACAACCTTGTGTGTTTTTTGGGAGGCACGACGGCACTTGGAAGCGACAATCAAGAGCACGGGCACGCTGCCAATGATGAGTGCATACAAAAGCAGCGCGTAGACCATCTCGGTGGCCTGCGCGTCGTCGGTTGTCGAGGCAAAGAGGTAGTGAAAGCAGGTCATAAGCGGCGGAATTTGCGCCAAGAGAAGCGTCAACGGACCTGCAATGAGCACCACCACGACTGCCACGAGCGTCGGATCTACGTCCGTTGTGAACCAGTGCTCTCGTTTCAGGGCTTTGGCGCCCGCTGACGCGAGCAAGATGACTCCGTACGCAAACAAGACGGTGCGCGAGAGGTAGAGGCACCCTAGGCAAAATGCCTGCGCATTCGCGACCTGGACCACGCGAACCGAGGCAGAAGCGAGGTAGTTGGGACTCGAGGCGACGTCAATGGCAAAGAAGAGGGGAACGATCGGGTGGAGTAAAATCACACTGGTGGGATCTCCAACAATAATCTCAAAAACCGTGCCAGGCCGCGCCTTGTACAGACCGTACTGATGCAAGCTCTGGAGCAAGTGCTGGTAGTGGCGGTAGTAGTGGCGCCACATGTAGTAGAGTATGTAGACGGCAAAGCAGACGCGACCAACGCACTTGACGTACGCGGCAACTTGCGCGTGCGGTGCGATTTGGTACCCGAAGTAGATATTTGCTTTGTCCGAATAATCGCCGTCTTTCCTCGAGAGCCACAGCACGGACAGCAGCACCGGCAGTCCGAGGCAGCGCGAAACGGCAACGTTGCCCGTCGCGTTCAATTCCCCATGCGCGACAAGTGTGGCCCAGCGCACTTGGTCGAGCGAGAAGTAAAAGGAGTAGGGCAGGGAGTCTACCCAGCTAGCAGACGTCTCATTCTCAAGCGGCAGTCGCAGTGAAGTCTGGAGCATGTCGAGGTCTTGGCTGTGGTAATAGCGATTGCGGTTCGACACCACCGAGGCATGGGCTTGAAAGAAGCGCAGCGCATCCGAGGTGCACATCGAGACGTTGACTGCACAGCGCGACACGAGTGCCGTCGCGTTCGTGTCGTGGGCCCACGGCAGTGGCTCGGACAAGTAGCTCACCAGCGGCCTACATACACACGTTAGCTACGGCGAAGCAACCACCGCGTACATGGTGGCCACGTTGACTGCCATAACGACGCTAACGGCGACCGCGCGCCAATTCCAGCGCACGCCAAACACAGGTGGCAGCACGTCGACCGTCGGCGCCGAGCTTTTGGGTCGCACGCATGTTGTCTTCATGGACGATGGCGCTTGTGAAACAGGTGTCGACAACGCCAGTGGTAACTGCTGTGGTCATTTTTCTTATATCTCAGCCTTTATTTGTCCTCTCTATCTATATATATAGATTGGTGTTTTGGCATGCGAGTTGGCCCCAGCGATGCGTCGCTGCGCCACCGCGTCATCTTCAACCGACGGTCGCTGTGTGCAAGCATGCTCATGACGCTCAACCTCGTTCTCATGTACACGCATGCGTCCGACGACTCTACGCTTATCGTCTCTTGCGTGTGTAGGCCGCTGAAAGCCTACATTACCGAGCCGTTTCCGTGGACGCCAGCGCGGGAACTCGCCGACTGCGGTAGCAACTTTACGGCGTGTGCGCCCACCCTCTTGGCGTTCTACCAAGCAGCAGCGACGCCCGTCTCGGGTGCCTACTACGTTGCCAGTGACGTCGTCGATATCTACGCGCTCGAGCTGCCCACCACCTTGTCGCCCGACGCCTTTGAACAAAAGGCGCCATTTCACATGCTCTACTCGGACGCGCAGCGCGACTATTCGCGGTCAATTTCGGTCGCCAATTCGACCGTGAATAGCAACGGCAGTGTGGCGCGCGTTATGTTTGCCAGTGTCCCAGCGCTCTACAATGCGGCGTGGGCCGTGCGTGGGCTCAACACAACTGGTGCGTACTTTGCACTGCAGCGGGCGCCGTCAACGACGCTCTGGCTGTGTATCAAGCTCGCGTACCGGGTCGCGCTCTCCGGCTATATACTGCGGTGTATTTGGCGCGAGTACTTTGTCCATTACAAGCACTTGGCCAGCAGCCTTGGCGCGTCGGGGCTCGACGTCGCACCGCACGGAAGCCGCTTTGAAATTCTCGTCGGCGACCCCACGAGCATCATCTTGCTCAACCATTTCGTGTCCCTCGCCTTTGTCATTGACGTGTACATGAGCCCCGACTACTTTGTTCGGTCGCTGCAACGCGTCGAGCAGCTCGAGAACATTCCGGCGTTCGCGCTTGCGTCCTTGTACCTCTCGCGGACCGTGTGGTTTGCCTACGGCGCGCTGAGCTGCTTTTCCTGCGTCGTGCGCAAAAAGCACTGGCAAGACGCCTACGAAGACGTAGACCCAAGTCTTGTCGCGCTTGCCGTCGCTCTCACGGCGGGACCGCTGACGTACCTCCAAGTGCAAATTCCGCTCGTCTCGGCCGTATACAACCTCCTTTTCACTGTGTTTGAGTCCAGCGCAGTGGCGATTGAGCTCGCCTGGTCCTTTCTCCTCTATACGACCATTATGGGGTCCCTCCCAATCGCGTTTGCGGTTGGTACGCGTTGGCAGCGGGTTTGCGCGCGTCGCCTTCGTCATGTGACGTCCCGCGTGCACTCGCTGGCCGACGTGTGCGACCACGCGGCATTTGCCACCAACGACTTGAAACACCGATGGACGCTTCGCTGGAGCCTCTTTTCTTGGCAGGCGTGGTGTCGTCGTCGTGACACGCCGACTGTCATCGAGCACGTGGGTGGCAGCGTCTACAAGCTCTTTGAGAGGAGCCGCAAGTACAAGCGGGAGCTCGGCATCAGCCAGCGGGGCGCCGACTGCTATGTCTTGTTCGAAACAAGTGAAAACGAACTCACAAGCGTCCGCCTCAGCCTCCTCGCGACCGTTGATATGAGTCACCTGCCAGTGATGACGGTCGCCAAGTACGCCGTTGGTCGCATCGAATTTCGGAGTGACGGCACCGCCGTCGTCGTCCAAGGCCGGAACGCGTCGCCGTGGGTAATGTAGGTCCGAGATAAATACATGATCTTAGTCATTAATAATCATGCGCACAACGTGTTATCAAGGACATTGGTGTCACTGATGTCAGCAAAGACAGCTCGTTGCCCGTCCACACGTCCCCGCACGGAGGAACCCTACCCCTATGCGAGCTGATTTGCACTCCACGAGCATTTGGTTTTATGCAGATCTCCCGCTGGTTGCCACGGCATAGGCACTGTGTACATTGCATTGCGAGTCAAAGTTTCGCGATGTCACGCAAAGAGCGTTAAAAGTCTATGTAAATGGAAATTACTCGGCTCGGATCCGTCCTGGATGCTAAAACTCGACATGAATCGCGTGATCGGCCGGTGGGATGACCCTACGTCACAACAAATAAGAGGCGATTCAAAAGCGTCGCGGTGTACCCCAACCCGAGGCGCGACGGGTCGAATGTCGGCGGTGCAAAGCCTGGCACCAGACGCAGCGATGGAAGGTGCTGCAGTACGAGCGCGACCCACATCTTGATCTACCAAAAAACCATCAGCAACGGAGGCATCCACATCCACAATGTACTTGGTTCTTCGCAAAGTACCGGCCGGGGCACATATTGGCGCCCATGCCAAACGGTTTGAACGCCTCCAGCTGCGCTTTTGTCGCGTGCACAAAGCGGTCGTACCTACAAGCGGGTCGTGAGTTTGCAGCGTAGCGTACACTAGTAACGGACTGGAATCGGGTCGGGTCGGGGAAAAGGGTTGGGTCAAAGTGTCCGAGACTCGGAAAGATTGCGATGCGGTCGCCTTTCTCGAAATGATATGTCGTCTACACAGCAATGAACATCGGATGTTTAGAGAGAAAATAGTACCTTGTCCAGGACCATGTCCGTGGGCTCGACCGCCACCCGAAGGAGCATCGACGACGCAGCGAGGCGCAAGCACTCGTCGATTGTGCTGTCTAAAAGCACGCACTTTTGCAGCATCTCTTGGGTCCACGGCGCTGCCGCAGTGTCAGCGAGCGGCGTCTTGTCCAAGTGCGCATCAATTTCATCTCGAACAGCCGTCAGCGCTGCGGGGGTTGCGAGCAAATGAAAGAGCGCCCAGAACGCTGTCGGAATCGAATTGGCGCTGGCGGCCCAGAGAATTTCGAGGTGGCAACTTGCACGGTCGGTCGCACTGCCGCACGCCAGCGTCGGAAGCGCCTACGTCGCAAAGAATAGTGAGTACTACTGCTAGAAACGGCGTTGAATACGGACCGCCGCTCGCGCCTGCACCAATGGCGCGCCGTCCGTCAACGGTGCGGCTTTGAAGGCATCAATGAGGCGTTGTCGGCTCGCCATGGCCTTGGAGAGAAACACTAGGTCGTCATGATGAGCCTCTTCTTCCAGAGAAGGTGCAATAAGAAACCATACCAGACGGAACGCAGCCAGCGACGAGGAGCGGAAAGGCTGCGTCAAAGGCCAGAAAATCATCGGCCATGCACGGGTGCGCTGCGAGGACGGTCTCGCCAAACATGGCGGCCGACCCCGACGCAAAGATCGCGTGCTCCACGAGCGTCAAAAGCGACACAATATGTGTTTGTGGTGCAAGCGTGGCCAAGACGGCGCGCTGGCAGCCGAACGTGCGCTGAATGAGGTCGACGACGGCGCCGCGGTTGGCCAAGTACGGTGTCGGCAGCGCATTGAAGCGTGTGAGGTTCGCGTCGGTCTTGCGCAGGTCGTTGCGGTAGTGCGTAAACGTTGGGTCTTGGCCAAATGCAACTTGCTCGATCTCGGAAAAGACGGGCTTGTGGCTCAGCGTCTTGGACTTAAGGATCGTGGCGTAGTGCTTTGGCGACGTGAAGAACGTCATGCGCTTCCCGGCGAGAAGCACGGTGAAGACGCTGCCGTGCGTGGCTTGACACTGGTTGAGAAATGCGATTGGGTCCTTGGAAAACGCGAGCGAGGACCCGAGAAATGGGATCCAGTACGAGACAAGCGGGATGTTGCTGCGGACGCTCGGCTTCGACCAGACCAGCACGAGCACGAGGAGCGAGGCCAGCGCCAGGAGAGCACTTGTGATGTCCGACATGAAAGCCAAAGTGAACAAGATGAAAGATCGGGAGCTGATTACGCTGGTGCGATATGGCGCCAATCACGAATCGACTCGGTATCCCACGCGCAGATTTGCGAATCCGGCTTGGCCGAAGTAGAAGCACAGGCTATGGAATATGGGCTGTACTAGTACTATGTAGTGTGTCTCGCGTACTACTGTAGTCATGTCGCTAGGCTATTGCAAGCTACAGGAATTGTGGTCCGGGCTTGCGTTTTTGCGACCTTTCCGTGTTTGCGATCTTCCATTCAGAAGCAGCCGTTTCAGAATCGCATGTTTTGAAGCGTTTTGATTTGTCCGTTGCCGACACACAACACTGTGATTGGCTGGAGGATTGCGATATGGATCTCCCAAGGTCGGATCCAGTGTTACGCTGCAGGTTGCTTCAAGTGGCACCCAGAACTCTACATGCAAAGTTCTGTCCTATCGCAAAGTGGCATCGAACTAGACCATTTCAAAGAGTGTTTGGGGTAGCGTACAACTACATCTCGCTCTCGGACGTGCTAGGCGTCGAGGTCTTTTGCCACGTGATACCAAAGGACATGGCGAGGTCGCTTCTTCCTTGGGCAGTCGGCTCGAACTTTTTCCTTCGGTACCGAAGCGCTTTTCGCGCCAAAAAAGTGTTGATGGCGGATGTCGGCTCGCATGCGTGGCTCATGAGTCGTCCGAGCACTGCCTCCGTGCGCCGCCGGACAAGATCGTCCGTGTACGTCAGCAGCAGCGCACGAGGCTCTCGGCAGTGCGACATCGCGGTGGAAATCAAAGTGAAGACTGCCGGTACGGGGCAGCAGCCAGCGCCGCGTCTTTGTCACGTCCGCTCCCACCATGGTGGGGCGCTGATTACGCGCCGCTTGGTGTCGAATCTATGCACCTTGGTGGCACAAAAAGATATATAAATACGCTGCGTCCGGAATTCCGAGACTGCCGAGCCAATCCGCTTGCGTAGCTTGGATCTGTGTTCGAAGGACAAGTCAATGCCCGCCGCGCGGTTTATGCACACCGACCTGTTGCAGCGCTGGACGATTTGACGCACAGCAACAGTGTGCCAGGACGCATGGGCCAATCAGAAGGGTGGTAGCCGCCAACCCAACTCCACGTGCTCCGATTCGACCAGTACACGAGAATCGAGTTGAGCCGTTCCAACGCTCTTGTGGTACTTCCAGGAGCTGTCGGGAAGTTGAGTTATTTTGTCCAGATCAAAGCGATACTCCGAGCGCCGGCTATGTATTTTTGCGTTTAGCCTTCTTGTCTCTGACCCGCCACGGCTAGCGGTCAATCAAATCACGAAAACTATGTGTACTTTCGGCAGTGTCGGATGCAGGTCAAATCCACTCTATTTGAGCAGTTAAATACGTTGTTCTATGCGATCGACTAGGCTTTTGTGGCGACCACTGCCTTGTGCCACGTGATGCCAAAGCGAGCGCCGACGTCACAGCCGTCGTTGGATTGCAGCTCGCG